AGATGTCGCCTTGGAACCCAAGGCACGCACACCATCGCCTTCTGCCCAGCAGCCCGTGAACGTATAAGTTGAGACAGTGGGTTTGAATTGAGGCGATGTTACTGTTGCCGATGATGAACTTGTCGATATAGTAGGAGACGTAGATGCAGAGTTTATCGTAGATACTGTTCCCGAACTTGTGGGCGTAATAGAAGGAATCAAACTCGACGTAAGGCTCGTAACCAGATCACTTGTAGTACTTGAGCTAGAGTCTGACGCAAGGGAGCTCGCAGCACTAGAAGCCGAGGTGCTAGGGATAGGCGACACTGAGACTGTCGAACTTGATGTTACTGTCACTGATGCCGAAGATGACTCCGCTGCCTTTTGGTACAACTCGAGCCTGTTGCCAGCACCGCAATATTCGTACTGGTCCCCGGCGCAAACCATATTACAATCGCTGTCAGGGGCAGAAGTGCTGAGGGTATTCAGAGTATTTCCACAATAGCACTCACGCCCATATTCAGTAGCCCAGTATGCAAAGGATGCACAGTTAGAAGCGCATAGCTCCAAGGTCATAGCATCATCTGCATAGGCCGCTTCATTCAGAGCGCGGCCATCAACCTCGTTATAGCAGCCGACACGGACATATGACGAAACAGTTGGTCTGATTGCAAGCGTGGCCGTTGGAGTAGGTTGGGTGGCCGTCGTGCTGTACAACTCTAGGCGGTTACTGGCTCCACAGTATTCAGTAGAGTCTCCGGAGCAGACCATATTACAATCTTCGAGAGCCGTGCTTTCACTACTTGACTGGAGTGAATTGCCACAATAACCTACAACAAGAATTTGTGAGCAAATAAAATTTCAGCTCAAATAGATAGGCTATTATCATAGGAGAAAACTCACACTCGCGGCCATATTCCGTTCCCCAGTAAGTGTACCCAGTACAGTTGCTCATACAGCTCTCTAGAGTCATGGTGTCGTAGGCAAAAGAAATTCCATTAAGAGCACGAGTGCCTTGAACGGTTGACTCTGTCTGACATCCTACTAGTTTGTAACCACCGAGCGTCTGTCGGTGATATAAGGTCTCGGCTGGGCCAGTGCTAGAACTGGTTGTGCTGCTCACAGTCGATGAGGTAGATGAAACAGCCGATGATGAGGAGGCAATGGTAGAAGAGGACGGCGATGTGGTGGAGATAACCGTCGATGACGAAGTTGACGAGCTTCCTGGAGCTGTTGAAACCTGTCCGGTAGAGCAGAGTGACGCCGGGGGGTTCTGGAAGCTAAGGCAGGTACCTGCCAGCTCACTCGCAGCGTTGAAGTCGTCCTTGAAGACCGAAGTGCCACTGCCACTAATCACGTCGATTTTTGTAGCATAGTCAAGATCCCCAAGGTCGGTGAAATTGGCTGTATAGAAGGTATAGGGGCCTACACATGTTCCCTTTGTCATAGAAATGGTGGTGTTCTTTAGTGTAGGGATTGGCAGATTCGGGTTGCCGGTTGGTTGTTTATATGAGAGGTACATATTAACAGGGAGGGTGTTACGATCGTTACGGACCTATCAGGAAATGATTAGAAATATTATACTTGGGACTCCGTGAGGACTCGAGATACTCACTGCTGCCGTGATCGTCAGCGTACCGGAGAGAAGACAGCTCTGGGGTTTCTGAAGGAGGATAGCGTCTTGCATAGGATACGAATTCCCATTGTTATCAAGGACTTGACTCGTCCCGCTGGCCATATTGAGAGTCAGAGTATACGATGAAATGCCAGTAGAAGTGGAAATGACGGCATTGATGGGAAACCACTAAAGAAATGTTAGTTATATACCACAATTAATAAACCTGGATGCGTTCAATTACTCACCACAAATGTGTCATCAAACCCCTGAGTGGCTCCCAATAAGCTTGCAGTATACTTGCATCCAGAACTACCACATTTATTACCTCCACTTCGATCCTGATAATTCAATACAACACTCGATACTGAATCCCCCCCTAGTTCGGTTGTGCGAACGCGGATGAAACCAGTCAACTGCATCGTAGTGGCTCCGGAGTTCAGGGATAGTTGCATATTAACCGGCTTCACAAAGTATGGTTGGATAGGATCAGAAAGGACCACACCTGCCGGGACCGTATCTATCATTTTGCGAAGGACGACGGCGCATACGTTGTTGAACTGTGTAGGATCTGCCATGGCATTAACTGTTACATTGCCATCGTAGTTGAAGACTTTGAAGTCGGAATTTCTCGTGGCCCTAATAGATGGCCCGACTACCATAGGGTTCGTCGTGTTGCCGGCTATATATTCAGTAACGACTTTATTATCGAATACTGCCACAGTTGAATCGGTGGGTGCTTCACCATTGGCGGTCGAGCCAACAGGAACTATCTGGGGAAATTCTGTTTCGTGAACGCCTCCAATGGAATGGCCGCAAGCAACCGACTGAATCATTTCCGTCCTACTGAAACCCATTCTTAGGAATTGCTGCTCGAATGTGTAGGCAGTATTCTGAGGTAAAGGAACGCCTATCGGGCCTCCTGCAACCGCATCGACTCTCCCACCACTAACGGGCACAACTGGACCACCGCAGGATCGCACTGCATAATAGACTCCTAGGGCAAGTAGGTCTGCCACACCCGAGCGACTCGTGTAGTAGTCAGCCATAAACTTGAGGGTTGTATTAAACCCAGGACCAAGGTTGTCTGAGCTAGTCAGTTCGTACTGCAACGAGCCATCTAATCCACCACTTCGGACGTTATTGAGGTTTGTCGATGTAGCCATATCGTGGAATGCCGCTCGCAACCACTCAGCAGCATTATGTCGACCGGGCCCAGAGGCTTGACTCGAGCAAGGAATGACAGTACCACCAAACTGCCGGGCCCTATAGCCACTCACTTGATACATGATCTCTTCCAATTCATCGTTGGAGGAGGGCCACGTCGGGTCTGCACCCGCGAGAATGCTCAGCGAGAGCATTGTCCCGAAGGACAACTTACACCAATGCATACTCCTACTTGATCCCTTCCAGATCTAATAAATTAAAAATTAAGAATATGGGAGAAAAAGAAAGGACGAACTCGGTCTTTAAACCGTCAGGTGGAATATTGAATGAGCATCTCAACTAAAGGAGCACGATATAAGCCCGAGGGAGCTCAGGGTTAAGATATCGGGGGACATGCCATGTGGATACGACAGAAGACTTTTTTTTCAACCTATTATACAACAGATGATGCTTACCTCTTACTACCATGGGATGGGTGCCAACGCCATGACACTCCAACACATAGTCGGATAGTGTACAGGTGTTGGAGGGCAATAGTACGCGCCTAGAACGTACAAACCCCTGCAGAATCGGAATACGAGACCAGGCGACGGTGCAACGCTACCTAAACACCTAGGTGCGGATTGGTCGGCGATTTTGAGGGCTTCCAGCCGCAGATGATAGCGGGGATAGCTAATGCAGGCCAGTCTATGTGGTCATATTTCCGTATCATAGGCGAGTTCCCTTGCTTAAACCAACTTCCCTCCTGGGAACTTGACGGCTTGCAAGCGGGAGATCTACAACCCAACAGCTGATCAGCAACAGCCTCGATGTGTAAGTCGCCGGTCACCTGATGAGTTTCAGCCGCCTCCACGATCTATTTTCTAACAGAGATTAGGGTTGCAAGATTGGACTCGGAACAACGAATGCTACTGTGCCCTCAGATCGGAATGAGGCATTCGACGTTATTCCGAGAATTCTGATAAGTCATCGACGGTGCACTGCGAAGTTCGTATCTATTGTGTTAGGAGGCCCAGATCAGAGACATGCCTAGCAGCTTCGGGCCTACGCTAATGAGGAAATCGGCGGCCGGCACACGGTAGTGACGGCCACGAAGTCGAGAAATTTAGAACTCATTCCCAAAACCGTTAGGTGAGTGCCTCAGGGTCCAGCTACCACGGGCTAGTTCTCAGTCGTCTAACAAGGACTCTGTCCTTGGGTGTACATTTTGGGTTGTTCAGCTCCGTCATGTGGCGTCAAACCAGACCATACTGCACCAGTGGACGTTCAAGCTATCAAAAATATCGGGTTCAAAAGGTACATCCAGAGATAATAAATGAGACATTATGACACGTGAATTGCCACGGGGGCGCACAAGAATCGGAATAGAACTAGTGACAAGTTGAGGTATAATTGATGCTAGTGATGGGATGATGGGATGATGGGATGATTAGGTAGGATGTTCAGTTCACCAGCATGTATCTGTTCAGGGATTTCCATCGCTAGAGGGTACTGCATATGGACTTAAATAAATGGGGCTTTAGATATGGGTCCTTCCCGCCAAGCCTGGCCCGAACAAAACCCTTATCTAGGCCCTAAGACTCCGAGATCCTTGTTCTCCTTATTCCTGGGTCGTCTAGATCTTCAAATCTCTCTTTCCCCCTAGTTCCCACAATAAACTTCAACCCCCGTCTTACATCATATCTGTAGAGGTTCTATAATTGGCCGCAAGCATCGGAATTGCCATAGGGGTGGCCAGATACCTCCCTACTAGTCTAGTAGGTAGATGGTTGTTAATATCTCAGTGAGGTCCAATAGAGGTGTCCTATATGTAAGCAGTGGCACATGCAATATGAGTCTTTAGTAGGATGTAGGTAGGCTATTGATTAGCATTGGGGGGATTGGTACACCTAGTGAAGTTGATTGGTTATAGTGTTACAATTCAGATTCCTCTTCCCTCGACTGAATACGAGATTCTCTGCTCTCCTTTTGTATGCATGTGAATGCAACATAGCAGGATATAGTAATATCATATATAGATCAAGTGGCAGTAATACTAGAGAATACACCACTTATATATGGTTGACTTATGAAAATCTCTTATCTCAGAAAGCAGCTGCTCCCGAAAGCTCACCCCACAATAGAACCACTTACCTACTACCAGGCTAGCATCACTTGAAGCGTCCGCTTAGCAGAAATGAATGCTAAACATAATTGCAATCAGAGCTTTCTTTCTTTCACAAATCATCCAGATACACAATCCGAATTGGTGTAGTGGCTAACATTTGACGCTCTCATCCTATATGATCCGTCAAGCCCGGGGTTCGATTCCCCGATTCGGAGATAATTTCATCATTTTTTTTTTGGCTCTTATATTTGTTCTGATAGTTTGTCTTTATGTTTCTCTCTCTCTCTCTTTTTTTTTCTCCTTATTATTTCACTATATTTTTTTTTTATCTTCCAGGTTGTTTTGGGTCCGTCCCTAGTCTCGTCAAATGTTTGAGATGTTTATATAAAGTGCAGACATTGGGATATTAATGTTAGATATTCAGGTAATCTACAGAGTGTAACCTTGAGGTGTTGCAGTGGACATTGATGCTGTTATTTGATATGATATCAGTTAGGTAGGTACCTTGATGGTGTATATCACGGTTATTTAGGTAGATAAAGAGTTAAACAGAATTAACTGTCTCAATGAATGCATATCTCAAAGTGGGGCTAACGGTTCTAGTAAAAGAAAAGGAAAAATCGCTTAGCCCTGACCCGCCCAAAGAAGTCGCAGCACACAAGAAAATTAATTTTGGTGGGTTTTTTTTCTCAATTGCCTCTAATTTCTTCTGAATCCAACAACACCAACCAAATATCTCGAGACCGTCCAGCAAGTCGAGGTAGGTTCATACGAAAAAAAAAAAAAGCCTCCATTCCCCTATTTTTCTAATTCTCTTTCTATTATTCTTTGTGATACCATTTTTATTTTCCTCTTTTATTTTCATTATACCCTTCCTCCCTCCTCCCTTACGAATACCATCCCGACTGACGAAAATACCCCCCCTTCTATTATAGATCCCGACGACTTTTACAATGGCCTCGAGACCGACCGTCACTATCATCGGTAAAGATGGTACTCCTTCGGGAGCTACCCACACCATCCCTACCGTTTTCTCCTCGCCCATCCGACCGGATATCGTCCAGCAAGTCCACACTGGAATGGCCAAGAACAAGCGCCAACCCTATGCCGTGAGCGAGAAAGCCGGTCACCAGACCTCTGCTGAGTCTTGGGGAACTGGTTAGTAGAGACTTTCTTTTTTACATATATATATATATATATATATATTCTGGGAGGGGTTGAGCTGGTTGTGGTTCAACAAGACGATAGGTGGCTTGCGATGGGATTATTTTAACGGCTTGGCCGGATTTATTGGAAATTTCATGTGCTAACGCCCGATTCTTCTTCTTCTGCTAGGTCGTGCTGTTGCCCGTATTCCCCGTGTCTCTGGTGGTGGTACCCACCGTGCCGGTCAGGCTGCTTTCGGTAACATGTGTCGTTCCGGTCGCATGTTCGCCCCCACCAAGATCTGGAGAAAGTGGCACATCAAGATCAACCAGGGCCAGAAGTGAGTAGAAATGCTAGGATATCAAAGCGAAAGAACTGTCACGCTAACGTTGAGGAAAGGCGATTCGCTACTGCCTCTGCTCTCGCTGCTTCCGCCGTCGCCCCTCTCCTCTTCGCCCGTGGGCACCAGATCTCTTCCGTCCCCGAGGTTCCTCTGGTTGTCGACTCGGCTGCTTTCGAGGGAGGTGCCGCTGCCAAGACTGCCAACGCTCTGGCTATCCTGAACGCTGTTGGTGCTAAGGCCGATGTCGAGAAGGCCAAGAAGTCAAAGAAGCTGCGTGCTGGTAAGGGTAAGCTGCGAGGCCGCCGCCACCGCCAGCGCCGCGGTCCCCTGGTCGTTTACGACCCCGAAGTCGATGGCAAGGAGCTTGTCAAGGGTTTCCGCAACCTACCTGGTGTTGAGACCAGCGATGTCTACGCTCTCAACCTCCTCCAGCTTGCCCCTGGTGGTCACCTAGGCCGGTTCATTGTCTGGACCTCTGCCGCCTTCAAGGCCCTCGATAAGATCTACGGCACTACCACTCAGCCCTCCGAGCTCAAGAAGGACTTCCTTCTACCTTCCAACCTGGTCGCCCAGGCTGACCTGAGCCGTCTAATCAACAGCTCTGAAATCCAGAGCGTTCTCCGTGCCCCCAAGGGTGGCTCGCTCACCAAGCGTGCTGCTGTCCAGAAGAACCCTCTGCGCAACAAGCAGGTCATGCTACGTTTCAACCCGTACCACTCGACCTTTGTCAAGAGCCAGCTTGGAGAACAGAAGAAGGAGGCTGGCAAGCCCCCTAAGACTCCTGAGGGTTTCTTGAACATCCTTCGCGAGGCATAGACCAGCTTGGTGAGCAGCGTGGTCTGATAGGAGTTGGAGGGGAGAAAAAAAGAATAAATGATTGCTATATCACGGCGTAATGGTTCGTAGGGTCACATGAATCAATCAATGAACTTGCCATTCCGAAATGATTTCGGTGGGTTGCATATTTGTGAAATGTTTGTTGATGCGCAATGAGATGATTTTGATATTGCCTAAGGTAGTTCTCTCGTCGGATCCGATTATGTAGAACTTATGGGGTATTGCATCTTGCAGATGCAAGGACCACTTCATAGTACTACTATAAACCACGACGCAAAGCAGCATTCTCCGAGTTTGAAGCATATATTGGTGTAACTTGCTATGTAACTCCCCGAAATATAACATGGTGGTACTGATTTTCGCCATTGAAATCGTCTTAGTTTCCCTGTTGTATAATCAATCAGAAATGCCAGTGTGTTACATCTATTGACCTTCCCCCGAGGAACAACGTTGCCTGGGGGCTATTCATGATCAAATGTTTCTTCTAAAAAGAAAAAGAAAAAAAGGGGGTGAATAAAGGAGGTCCCTTCTCTTGCACCTTCCTCGCCAACAAACCATCTAATGCATATTTGCAGTGTATATATGTTGTATGAAAAAAACATGATCACGCGTATATAGATGGGCAAAAGACCGGATCTCGTTCTCTGATCTTATTTAAACAAGCACCTTCTCTCTCGCTCTCGCTCTCGCTCTCATTTTCATCTTAGCATCCCATGACCAAGCCGAGATTCGTCAAGCCCTCTACCTCTGCGCTGCTTTCTTCGACGGCGGGGCCGCCGCCGTCGACCTCGCGGAGAATGTCCTCGATCTCCTGGGGGTTCTTGATGCGCCAGAAGCGCTGGATGCCGCGGGCGAAGCGCAGGGAGGCGGAGTCGATGTTGTCGTCGGTCTCGGCGGCGAAGCAGAGGCGGTAGTAGGCCCAGCCGCGGGCGGCGCGGATCTGGTCGTTGGCGGCGAACATGGCGCCGGGGGAGACGAGGACGATGTAAGGGCGCTTGGTGAGGAAGAGCATAAGGGCCATGGAGAGGGCGGGGCCGTCGAGGACTTTGGTTTTGGATGAGGTGGAGGAGGTGGCGGCGGCTTTCCAGAGGGGATGCGTTTCGAAGCGCACGTGCAGCCAGAGGAACATGCCGCCCCGGGGCCAGGAGAAGTCGTAGAGCCGTGTCTTGGTGATGACGCCCCAGTCGGCGTCGGCTTTGCGCATGGGGGTCTGCTGCTTCAGCTGGTGGGCGTTGTCCTCGAGGATGCGACACATGCGGTTCATGCGGCGCTCGTACTCGCCGCGCAGGCCCTCGAGCCAGCGCACCCAGCCGTCCATCTTCCAGCCGCTGAAGGCGGCCTGGTCGCGGTACCGGGAGAGGAGCGAGAAGGCCTTGGACGTGGCCTCGGGCTGCGGGCCCATGATCGACTCGGCGATGACGACCTGCACGAAGCCCGAGGGCTGCTGCGTGCCCGACTCGCTGATGCGCAGGATGCGCTCGCAGATCTGCGGGGTGGCGGTGATCCAGCCGAGGCGGCATCCGGGCGCGACGGTCTTGGAGAAGGTGTCGAGGCGGACGACGCGGCCGTCGACGTCGATGCTAAGGAACGAGGGCGCGAGCGAGTCGAGGAACGGGTACCCCGACTTCTTCTCCAGGGTGTTGGCCTCCTTAGGCTCGGGCACGGGCAGGTGCCGGGCCTTGGCTTCTTCTACCTCGGCTGATGGGTATTGCAGGTACCAATACGGATCGTCCTCGACGATGATCACGTCGTACTTGCTGCACAGGGCGTAGATCTCCTTGCGCCGCTGCAGCGATAACACGCCGCTCGTCGGGTTATGTCCTATTCTACACAAGAACACCTCTATTAGTAAAAATTTAAAGAAAAGGAAAAAGAAAAATCAGAGATCAGCCAAAAACGACTTACGTGACCGTGTACATGATATGGGGTCTCTTCCCCTTGCTATCATCCCAGTTGGCGAGGACATCCTCCAGCCCCCCAGGGCCAAACGGCAACATCCCCTCGGCATCCATCTCAACAGGCACGACCTGGACGCCCCTGGGCGCGGCCTGATTCGCCGCGTTGCTGTACATGAAAACCTCGGTCAGCATGCCGGGTCGCTCGCGCACGTCATTCTTGCCCGGGACCCATATGTTAGTGAAGAGCTCGAGAGCCTTGGACATGCCGTCGGTGGCGCCGACGGTAAGTATAACCTCGGGCCCGCCTCGGTAGGGCACGTTGGGGTGCAGGCACTCGCGCGCGAACTGTCGGACGAACGAGAGCAGTGGCGGATACCCGTTAGCCTGGCCGTATTGCAGCGCCGTTGCTAGGTCGATCTTGCGCGTCGGATCGGAGGAGCCGGCGTCGTCGTGCGGCACTACCACGTGCGAGGCTGCGCGCGGGTTGGTTGGCGGGGAGGAGGAAGGGCTCCCGGGGTGGTTCGGCGTGGGGGTCCATCGGTTCGGCTTCGCGGTCTGGGCCTCGAGGGTATCGAACGGGAAGAATTGGGCATTGGGAAGACCTGATCGGAAGGGGAAAGGAAAAGAAGATTTAGGTTAGTCTTTAGGTTAACAACTGAGTTAAGGTCTTACATATATCGAGGGATGGTAGGGATGGTAGGGATGATAGGGATGATAGGGATGACTGATAAGCTGCTGTTACTTACCGCCAGCAAGGTTACTTATTCCCGGAATCTGGAAATACTTGTAATACTGTTTCATCGAGCTGGGTACACGGGCGTTGGTAACATCCGAGTACAGATGGCTCAGGTCCTTGGGCAGAGGCTTCTCTGTCTCGGTACCAGCAACAGGATCGTCCATGGTAAAGGTAATACAGTTGATAGCTCAGGGAAATTCAGTCGTGCAAATAATGTAAATCGTGTCTTAGATCTGTGTAAATGAAACTAAAGTT